TTTTGTGGGGGGTGGGAGGGTTGGATTGAACAGCCAAGGGCCCCAGAGTTCCTTGCATCTATTTCACCCCACCCACACCCTCAGGGTTAGGGGAGCCAGGAACCCAGATAATCGAGGGACCAGGAAATTCAGCTGCCTCCCCTCATCGCCTTTGCCCCTCCTGCCCTCCCCACTTTTCTCCTTCCTCTATCCCCACAGCCCCAGCCCTCAGCCCTACCCAGCCTTACTTCCTGCTGTTTTTAAACGCAGTTTCTCAACTCCAGTCAGAACCAGGTCTTGCCTTGTGTATCCAGGGGACAGGGGTGGTGGGAAAGAGGGGCTCAACTTAACCTCCATCCACCGAGGGGGGCGCGGCGCGGGCCGGCGGCGCAGCGCGGCCCGTGAGCCTGCGGGAAGTCGTGCGCTACCTCGGGGGCAGCGGCGGCGCCGGCGGTCGCCTAACCCGCGGCCGCGTGCAGGGGCTGCTGGAGGAGGAGGCGGCGGCGCGAGGCCGCCTGGAGCGCACCCGTCTCGGAGCGCTTGCGCTGCCCCGCGGGGACAGGCCCGGACGAGCGCCGCCGGCCGCCAGCGCCCGCCAGTCTCGGAGCAAGGTGAGCGCGCCGGGGAGCGGGGGCGCCGCGCGGTGGGCAGGTGCGGGCGAAGTTGGTGGCGGGGGTGCGAGTCCCGGGAGGAACTGGGTGGCGGGTGACTGGGGCTTTACGCGCGTTTCCTGCGGGCTGGGTGCGTGGTGACCTTGGCAAGTGCTTGAATCTCCCGGAGCCTCAGTTTCCTCCGCTGTAAACGCGGTTTAATAACAGTAGCGACCCCTTGGGGTTGTTTAGCGAGTTTAGTGAGATTCGGTTGTCGAGGGCTTTAGTTAACACAGAGCCTGGCACGGAGTGAATGCGTAAAAGTTAGTCCGTATTGTTCTTAAAGGTGGAATCGGGCCCTCCTCACCACCGCCCGTATGCCACAGGCAGGGTCAGGGATTAGAGCAGCTATTAATCTTGCATGCTTCTCTCCTCGGTCCCAGAGAGGTGGAGAAGAGCGAGTGCTTGAAAAAGAGGAGGAAGATGATGATGATGAAGATGAAGATGATGAAGATGATGTGTCAGAGGGCTCTGAAGTGCCCGAGAGTGACCGTCCTGCAGGTGCCCAGCACCACCAGCTTAACGGCGAGCGGGGACCTCAGAGTGCCAAGGAGAGGGTTAAGGAGTGGACGCCCTGCGGACCGCACCAGGGCCAGGATGAAGGGCGGGGGCCAGCCCCGGGCAGCGGCACCCGCCAGGTGTTCTCCATGGCAGGCATGAACAAGGAGGGGGGAACAGGTAAGGACTCCTGTGGGTGGAGGAAAGTGCTAGGTGGGGAGGAACTCAGCCCGAAAACAAAGCCAAAGGCAGGTGTTTTTTCTTCTTTCCCAGCTTCTGTTGCCACCGGGCCAGACTCTCCGTCCCCCGTGCCTTTGCCCCCAGGCAAACCAGCCCTACCTGGGGCCGACGGGACCCCCTTTGGCTGTCCGTAAGTTGGGGTGTTGGAGACATGGGAGTGCTGCCCAGGTGTGTGGCACAGCCGGAGGGACACCCGTGTTCACTGGTGCCCGTCTGTTTTGATGCAGTCCCGGGCGCAAAGAGAAGCCGTCTGATCCCGTGGAATGGACGGTGATGGATGTTGTGGAATATTTTACCGAGGCTGGCTTCCCGGAGCAGGCGACAGCTTTCCAAGAACAGGTGAGTTCCCAGCCCAGGACTACACACTGACAGACAAAGAGGGGCGCTCTGGGATGTGCCCTAACCCTGGCTCGCTCTCTTTTTTTGTCCCTGTCCCACCCAGGAAATTGATGGCAAATCTTTGCTGCTTATGCAGCGTACAGATGTGCTCACCGGCCTGTCCATCCGCCTCGGGCCAGCCCTGAAAATCTACGAGCACCACATCAAGGTGCTTCAGCAAGGCCACTTTGAGGATGATGACCCCGATGGCTTCTTAGGCTGAGCGCCCAGCCTCACCCCTGCCCCAACCCATTCCGGCCCCCATCTCACCCAAGACCCCCCAGAGTCCAGGAGCTGGACGGGGACACCCTCAGCCCTCATAACAGATTCCAAGGAGGAGGGCACTCTCTTGTCCTCATCTCTGCCCCTTGTGTCTCTCTCTCTCTCTCTCACACATCTGCCCCTCAGCACGTCGGTGTGGGGAGGGAATTGCTCCTTAAACCCCAGGTGGCTGACCCTCCCCACCCAGCCCAGGACATTTTAGGAAAAAAAAAATGAAATGTGGGGGGCTTCTCATCTCCCCAAGATCCTCTTCCGTTCAGCCAGATGTTTCCTGTATAAATGTTTGGATCTGCCTGTTTATTTTGGTGGGTGGTCTGTCCTCCCTCCCCTACCACCCATGCCCCCCTTCTCAGTCTGCCCCTGGCTTCCAGCCCCTAGGGGACTAGCTGGGTTGGGGTTCCTCGGGCCTTTCCTCTCCTGCCTCTTTTCTTTCTGTTGATTGTCGCTCGAGCTGGCTGTATTGCTTTTTAATATTGCACCGAAGGTTTTTTAAATAAAATTTTAAAAAAAGGAAAAGGGGAAAAAAAAGAACCACGGAGTCCGTTTTATGAATGGGGCGGGGAGAGGGCATTAAAGAGCCTCTGGTTAGGACAGAATCATTTGAAGAGAGAGAAAAACGGAAACAATGAATTATAGCTGCCTATAACAATAATTGCTGCAGAAAGGTGGGAATCTTTGGGGTTTTTTCCCTCTGTAATCTCCCCATGTCCCAGAACTGAGCTAGGCACAGAGCAGGTGCTGAATTTTTGCTTTCCTTTTAGAGATGGTTTCATTCTATCACCCAGGTTGGAGTGCAGTGGTGCTATCATAATTGTAGCCTCAAACTCCTGGGCTCAAGTGATCCTCCCACGTCAGCCTCCGGAGCAGCTGGGACTACAGGTGCACTCTGCCATGCCCAGCTAATTTTTAAAAATTTTTGTCTGGGCGTGGTGGCTCACACCTGTAATCCCAGCACTTTGGGAGGCTGAGGCAGGTGGATCACGAGGTCAGGAGTTCAAGATCAGCCTGGCCAAAATGGTGAAACCCTGTCTCTACTAAAAATACAAAAAATAAAAAAAAAACTTAGCTGGGCGTAGTGGTGGGCGCCTGTTATCGCAGCTACTTGGGAAGCTGAGGCAGAGAATTGTTTACACCTGGGAGGCGGAGCTTGCAGTGAGCCAAGATCACGCGCTGCACTCCGGCCTGGGCGACAGTGAGACTGTCTCAAAAAAATTTTTTTTTTTTTGTGGAGATGAGGGTCTCACTTTGTTGGCCAGGTTGGCCTCAAACTCTCAGCGCTGCAAGCGATTCTCTCTTCCTGCCTGGGGTTACAAGCGTGAGCCACCATGCCTAGCCTCAAATATTGTTGAATGGTTGGCAGTTAAATCCTTGGGTTTATAAGCATTTTCTCAACTGTCCTCCCCAAGTCCCCATAAGACAACTCATAAAATCCCACCTTACAGAAGAGGCAGCTGGCCCGGCACAGAGATACTGTGTGCTCGGGATCACACAGGGTGGCATCTGACACCTGTCTGAGTTCTTCACTCCGAGTCTTTAAATATAGAGTATTTGACATAACGTGCATTAAAAACTATAAACCTGTCAGCCTTTGTCTACTGCAAAGAATCTGCTACAAAAATTTGGGGGCAGGAATCTGTTCTAGGACCATAGTAGGCTCTCCAGACCTCATGGTCTTCTTCATTAAAACAACAAAATTCCTTCTGGGCCATCAGATGAGATCATGAGAGGAGAAGATTTCCAAGTGAAGATTTTGTTTGTTTCAAGACAGAGTCTTGCTCTGTCACCCAGCCTAGAGTGCAGTGGTGCAATCATAACTGGTGACAGCCTCGAACTCTTGGATACAAGTGATTCTCATGCCTCAGACAACACCCAACGAACATTTTATTTTTTGTATAGACAGGGTCCTGCTATGTTGCTTAGGCTGGTCTTGAATTCCTGGCTTCAAGCAGTTCTCCCGTCTCAGCCTCCTAACCTGTCAGAATTACAGACATGAGCCACCAAGACCAGCCTGAAGATTTTTTCAGATTTATTTATTTTATTGTTAGTAGTAGTCGTCAGAGCTACTACATCCAAAGTCCCTACTAAGTTCTAAGGCAGTTTCTCAACTCCAGTCAGACCAAGTCTTGCTGGTGTATCCAGGGACAGGGTGTGGAAAGAGGGGCTCACACTTAACTCCATCCCCCACCCACACCCCCATCCCACCCAACCACAGGCCCCACTTGCTAAGGGCAAATGAACGAAGCGCCAACCTTCCTTTCGGAGTAATCCTGACTGGGAAGGAGAGATTTTTAGTGACATGTTCAGTGGGCTGCTTGCTAGAATTTTTTTTAAAAAACAACAATTTAAAATCTTATTTAAGTTCCATCAGTGCCTCCCTCCTTCCTCTACTCCCACCCCTCCCATGTCCCCCCATTCCCCAAATCCATTTTAAAGAGAAGCAGACTGACTTTGGAAAGGGAGGCGCTGGGGTTTGAACCTCCCCGCTGCTAATCTCCCCTGGGCCCCTCCCCGGGGAATCCTCTCTGCCAATCCTGCGAGGGTCTAGGCCCCTTTAGGAAGCCTCCGCTCTCTTCTTCCCCAACAGACCTGTCTTCACACTTGGGCTTTGAGAGCCAGACAAAGCAGCTGCCCCTCTCCCTGCCAAAGAGGAGTCATCCCCCAAAAAGACAGAGGGGGAGCCCCAAGCCCAAGTCTTTCCTCCCAACAGCGTTTCCCCCAACTCCTTAATTTTATTCTCCGCTAGATTTTAATGTCCAGTCTTCCCTCAGCTGAATGGGGAGGGCATCCCTGCAAAAGGGAACAGAAGAGGCCAAGTCCCCCAACGCCATGGCCCGGGGTTCAAGGCTAGAGCTGCTGGGGAGGGGCTGCCTGTTTTACTCACCCACCAGCTTCCGCCTCCCCCATCCTGGGCGCCCCTCCTCCAGCTTAGCTGTCAGCTGTCCATCACCTCTCCCCCACTGTCTCATTTGTGCTTTTTTCTCTCGTAATAGAAAAGTGGGGAGCCGCTGGGGAGCCACCCTATTCATCCCCATATTTCCCCCTCTCATAACTTCTCTCCATCCCAGGAGGAGTTCTCAGGCCTGGGGTGGGGCCCCGGGTGGATGCGGGGGCGATTCAACCTGTGTGCTGCGAAGGACGAGACTTCCTCTTGAACAGTGTGCTGTTGTAAACATATTTGAAAACTATTACCAATAAAGTTTTGTTTAAAAAAAAAAAGTGTCGCTGGTGTTCTCGACTTCGATCACCCACCCACACACCCCCAGGGGGTTGGAAAGGGAATTTCGGACCCCAGAGTGCAAGCCGATCAGGTCCCGGCTTGAAGTCCTTGTAAACAGGGTTTAGCTGAAATTCCGGCACTCCTTCGGCCCCGCAGGAGAAACGAGCGTCAAACTGCCCTCTGACCCCAGATTCGGGGTCCCCAAATCTGCAGCGCGCCCCCTCGGCGTCCAGCCCGGGACCGAGAGGGCGCTCTAGGGAGGCGCTGGGGCCGGCGCGCCAGAAGGCCGAGCGGCGGCGGGGGCGGCCCTGGCAGGGGGAGTAGAAGGGGGAGAGGGTGCGCGCCCCCCTCCCCGCATCCTTAGCGCCGGGCCAGGCGCGCCTGAGGGACGCGGGGGCGGCGGCAGCAAGAGGGTCCCCGCAGCACCCTGCGAGCGCGGCAGCCCCGGCCCGCGGGCGGCGAGTTCCCGGTAAGTGCGGTCCGGAGAGCGGAGCGCGCCGGGGAGGCGTGGAGAGGGGGGCTGGGCGCCGGGGACGTCTGGGTCCCGCGCCCAATGGCTGGAGGGCGGCCGAGCGCCGCCCGCCCGCCCCCTTTCTCCCTCCCCGACACTCCCCTCCGCATCGCTCCTACCCCCAGCGCGACCGCTTGTCCCCCGCGCAACCTGCTGTGTACCGCGCAGAGGCAGCGAGTCCGCCTGTGTCCTCCTTTGTGAAGAGAAGGCAAGCGTGGGGATGTTGTTAAGGGGCGGTGACACGCGTGTAGATGCGACGCCGATGATTGTTCACAGAACACAAAGGAAGTTTCGGTCAGGAAAGCTTCTTTCTCTTTCTGGGTGGATCGGAGGATTATGGGTCCTTTGTCCCACTATAGGTCTTCTAAGCGCGATCCGAAATATTAGTCTCCAGATTCCACATGAAATAAGGCTGAGCAAAGAATTCCAACGAAAATACAGGCAGTGTACTCTGTGAGCTGGAAGGTCCACATCACAAAGAAGCTTTCTCAGAAAGCTTCTTTCCAGTTTTTCTCTGGGAGGATATTTTCTTTTTCAACAGTAGCCCTTCTATGCCTTCCAAAAACACCTTGCGAAATTGCAGAAGACAGTCTTTAGGGGTGAGGTGGTTTCTTGAGGGGAAAGCTGGTAAGCTTCTGTGGAGATGAATAGTACTTTGAACACTAACAGTTTCTCAAAGCCTCTTTCGAGTTTCATCTGAGGATATTTTCCAGGCTTTTCAACGGTAGCCCTCTGATGGGTAATCCAAATATCCACGTATAAACTCCCCAAGAACTGATCGGGCGAAAGACTTTTGATGGGAAAGCTGTAACCTGTGAGATGATTTCACAGAACACAAAGAAGTTTCTCAGAAAGCTCTTCTTTCTTTGTTATCGCGAATATTTCTTTGGCCCTGATAGTCTCAAAGGGATCCGAAATATCTGTTCTTTCACATTCAACGAAGATAAAGGCCCCAAAGAGATCCACCAAATACAGATGTAACTCTGTGTAGTGGAAGTCACACATCACAAAGCAGTTTCTTCAGAAATCTTCTATCCCCAGTTTTCTCTGAGCGATAGAGTGTTGTCTGTCTTGATGCACAGCTGCTGGCCCAGCCATGGGTCATATACCGAAGGGTGACGGACTTGTCTGTCGGAGCCGCGCCCCGAGGTACCCATGGTT